CTGTTACCATTGGCACCCTCCTTGGTGCCACCCCTGTGTCCCTTGTGTTAATCCTGGGCCACCCTGCACACCTGTATCACCCTTGGGCCCCATGGTGTCCCCCTGCCCCCCCACACTGTGTCCTCCACCCCCCTCATGTCCCCCCATTCCCTGGGGTGTACCAGCTGGCCTCATTCATGATGTCCCCTGCCCCCCATGCCCCTGATGCCACCGTGGTGTCCCCACAGGAGACGGTGGCAGTGAACCAGCCAGCGTCCTTTGCCGTGCAGCTGAACGGGGCGCGTGGCGTCATCGATGCCAAAGTGCACACGCCTGCAGGGGTGGTGGAGGAGTGTTATGTGTCCGAGCTGGACAGCGGTGAGGGCACATGGGGACACCGCGGGGACACCGTGGGGACACTGGGACACCGGGTCTGCGAATGTGGGGTTGTGGGCACAGGACACAGGGACATCTGATGTGGGGACACGGGGATTGAGCACATGGGGACATAGGACATGGGGGCAGAGTGACACAGGACATCCCCCAGACTAGTACACACTGGGGTTCTTGTGTGGGGTGTGGGGACATGGGGGTGTGGGGACATGGGGACACAGGACACAGGGATATGGGGACATGTCTGTGTCCCCCTGATATGCACTGGGGTTCCTGCTGGGCTGGAACAGAGCTGTGGGGACATGGGGACACGGTGACATGTCTGTGTCCCCCCAGACCGGTACGCGCTGGGGTTCCTGCCACGTGAGAACGGAGTCCACTCCATCGACCTGCGCTTCAATGGGCGCCACGTGCCCGGGAGCCCCTTCAACATCCGCGTGGGCGAGCAGAGCCAGGCCGGGGACCCTGGGCTCGTCACTGCCTTTGGGCCGGGCCTCGAGGGTGGCCGCACAGGTGACACTGCTGTGGAGACAGGGACAGGGACATGGCTGTGGGAGGAGGGTGGGGATGGAGGAGCAGCTGTGCTGGTGGCGGGAGAGACATGACCATGAAATGGTGATGGGGACAAAGCCACGATGGAGATGTGGCCATGGGAGTTGCCATAATGGGAATGTGGCCATGGGTGACCACATGTGACCACAATGGTGTCCTGGTGTCCCCTCCATGATGCCATCCCCATGTCTGTGTCCCAGGGGTGCCCTCTGAGTTCCTGGTGCAGACAGCCAATGCAGGGGCAGGAGCACTGGCTGTCACCATTGATGGACCCTCCAAAGTGGAGCTGGACTGTACTGAGGTCCCCGAGGGCCACCGCGTCACCTACACCCCAATGGCCCCTGGCAACTACCTCATCTCCATCAAGTATGGGGGCCCCCATCACATCGTGGGGAGCCCCTTCAAAGCCAAGGTCACTGGTACGAATGGGGGGGACCTGAAGATGGGAAGGGACATGGGTGTGGGGAAGGACATGGGGACAAAGAGGAACATGGGAACTAGTGGGGACAGGGGAACTGAGGGGGAAGTGGGGATGCCAGGACCCCCACCACATCACGGATGGCCTCTTCAAGGCCAAGGTCACTGGTACAGGTGGGGTGGGGGTAGACACGGGTATGGGGGGCATGGATAAGGGAGATTGGGGCAGGAGAATGTGGGGGTCCCCAGTGTGGGGTGACAAGGGGTCAATGATGGGTATGGTGGAGGGTTGCAGGAGGGTCATCCTGGAGGTCCCTCAGGGTGACATGAGTTGGGGGGTTCCTAGGGTGGTGACAAGGGATCCTGGGGATGATGTGGTGTAGAAGCCCCAGGATGACATGATGGGGGTCCCAGAGGGAGGAGGGATTGTCCCTGAAAAGTGTCCTCCTATCCCCCCAGCAAGGTGTGATGGGGGGTGTCCCCATGGTGGGGCTGACCATGTTCTCCTGGTATTCCCCAGGCCCACGGCTGTCAGGCGGGCACAGTCTGCACGAGACCTCGACAGTGCTGGTGGAGCCGGTGGTGAGGGCAGGGTCGCGGGGCCCCCCTGCCTTTGGGGGTGTCACCAAAGCCCCATCGGATGCTGGGCAGGTGGTGGCCCGGGGGCCAGGGCTGGCAACCGCCCGCCTGGGCCACAAGAACCACTTCACTGTGGACTGCAGCAAGGCCGGTGAGGGGCCCTGGGGGTCGTGGGGGCTTGGGGTGGCTGGGAGGAGGCATGGG